ATATATATATATGTATATCTTGATGCGATGGTACACTGAGGGAAGTACAACGAGGGAATAACAACGATGAGCATTTCCCGTATCTATACAATTTTCGGAATAATAACAATCAAATCGAATGCAAAATATGTTACGAAACGTAAGAGTGAAGTAATAGCTTTTGCAATAATCTCTCTTATTTTGTATCCCGAAGTTGAATTAAGTTAATCTCTCTATCAGAGGATAATACACACCTGTTAGGTTTGAATACGCGAGCGGTGAATAAAGTTTTATTATTGTAACGAATGTACATATATACATTATGACACATCTACGTTACCTATATTCGTTTAACTGAAACATACCATAAAACATTACGATGGATGCATTCTTCATGTTTTATTATTATAATTATATGTTAATAAATTGTGAATGAAGATTACAATTGCAGAAAATGTGCGGAATACAAGATGTGTATATTACATTAATTTTTAATTTTTAATTTTAATCATGTATAAGGATAAACTATATACACTCGTTACACGAGTAATATAGTTAAATCTAAAAATATTATAATTGTTGAAATGCAACAATACATAATTTATATCTCACATTTATATCTCACATTTATAATCTAGAATTATAAAAGTAGAATTATTTTTGTAAATTTTTTTATAATTAGGAAATGTGCTATGCTGTAATAAATTTGCGAGAAATAGTAAATTTTTTCAAGCTGTAGATCGTACATGTACTTCATAAAATGAAGAAACTTTTATGCTCGTTTCCATCAATGTAGATTAAATTTAACTTTGATTCAATTTGGTCTTCGTTTTCTAATTCTTAAAACTAGAAAAAGATAAAAAGATAGGTGAACCAAGATTAAAGTTAAATTATTATTAGTGAAAATAGGCATTAATGTCAATTTATAATGTAAGACAAAATTTATAATTACAGTTTACATCTCTGTACATTTCTATTTATTGTAATACGTATGAATATTTTTATATTCAATACATATGTTTTTATCTCTTTTAAAAAGATTTTTTTTTAGTAAGAAATTTTTTGTTTAGTAATTTTTTATCATTTCAATATTCTCAAAAAATAATTAACTGTTATACTGTTAATAATTAATTGTTAATTATAAATATTGATTTAAAAAAGTGTGTTTAAACATTTGGTATTTTTATTTCATTTTAATCTTTAACATTTATTTTACATTAATATATTATCAGATAGTGGAATAATAATAATTACAAAATTGTATATTAGGTATATCAAATTATATATACATTGTATTAAGTTACAGTTTAATTAGAGACTCTATAACAAAGTTTGGCTACGAATGACAAATATTTGATTGAGCTCGTCGTTTTTATTAACTTTAAAAAGTTAAAATGAATACGTTGGTATTACAAATAAAAATGAAATAACATAGAAAAAAAGACAATATGTCCTTCTTTTTTACTTTTATTTTGACAAAATTGTTCGTGGTCAGACTTGTTACATCAAAGTATTATACGTATATACTCATTACAATTATTTTTAACTGTACAATGGAAATTAGGAAACTTGAACCTTAGAAAGCTTGATGTATATAATTTATGTATTTGAGACAGAGGTTGAGATAGAGGTAAATGAAATTTGAAAAGATTGCATGAAATTATATCAATAAGTACTTACTTTTATTATTCTGATTAATCAAATATATCATACAATCTCAATATCGGGATTTTTATATGAGAGACGTTTAATTGGTCGATTTTTTGTGCACTGTATTGTACAGCTACTATGTATGTTTCGACTAGATAGGCCTTCAAAGAAGAAAGTTTTGAAAATTAAAAATATTCATGAAAAAACATGGAGAGCGGAATATGAATAGTAAAAAAAATATCTAGTCGATATTTTATTCATAATTTTTTATTCGATATTTTTATATCGAGCTGCAAAAAATATCGAATATTCGATATTATAGAATATCAATAAACAATTAAACATCCCTATTTCTTTCTTTAGATCGAAAGAAGAGAGAATCGGGTGCGAAGCATAGTTATGCATTCCTGGACGAAGATCAACAAGTAGCATGGACTAGTGGGGGCGATCGCTGTTTGTACGTCGATGAGGAAGGGGTCGGCGTCGTGGCCTGACGCGGGTAGAGCGCGGCCGAGGAGTGGGGATATTCACTGCTGGGTACGGCGAAGGGGGAGGATTCGAGGCTGTCAGGCGAGCGAGCGAACGAGCGCAGGCAGACAGGCCGCAGGGCGAAGCGAGCGCGTCATCTCTACGTAGTCTCGTACCGTTCAGACTTCAGTTGGGTGTTGGGTCGAGTAGGCAGCTAGACTGCTAGGTGCGTTTGCATCGGTATCGTTTTTCGCATTATCGCTGCCGCTCGTATGAAAGACGCTCAACGCGGCATCGTCAACTCTTGTTA